CACCCTGTGAGGTAGGCGGGGCTGGGCAGCTCTGACAGAAACTGCTCTTTTTTTCAAGAACAGAACTATCAGAACTATGGCTTGCCCAAGGTCATCCAGCAGGTGCAAGTGGAGGAGTGGGGAATCAAACCCGGTTCTCCCAGATTAGAGTCTGCGCACTTACCCACTACACCAAACTGGCTCTCTATAGGGACCAAGTCATTTATAAACCAACTGATCATTTTGTCAGTTATGCAACCACACATGTAAATGCCATGACCTGTTCTATGATAACACACACCCCCCAATCTGGACACTGGTAAAACTATATCTGGAGTCTTTTTCTTTTACTCTTTTGTTAAAGGATTCAACGGAATGAAGCCCATATGTTTTATTATTAGCTAGTGACTCAGCAGCTCCAAACCACAAAGGAGGAAGGAGATGTTCAGATATATTAGTTGTTTACGAGGTAATTATGAGTTGTCAATATGGGCTTGTTCCAAAGAGGGCAATGACTGGATACATCAGGCCATAGGAAGAGAGGATTGCAGCTACGCCGCTCTCCACTGAAAAAGAAGCTATGTTCACTGGGCTAGTCCTTCCTGTGTCTGTACTGGATGACTTTTCCATCTTTTTAGACACTTCCACATCCTAAAAGACATGCAGAAATACATTGGTTTACCCGATGGGCCAAAGAGCACCCACCCCTCCCAGGACTGTTTCAGGAAAAGAAAATGGCCCCAAAAGGGAAGGTGGAAGCCCCTTTTCCACAAGCCTGATCCAAACTGGCATCCTGAGCATGCGAACTGAGGAGAGTCCACACCTCTCTTACTTTACATGGGGTAAAAGACATAGGGTAGCCAGTGGGCTGTAGGGGCAGTTGCCCTGGGCTCTGCCCTGGGGAGGGTCTGACCCCTGCCCCCCAGAGAGGAAGGAAGAAGATAATGAGGAGGCTCCCACCACTGACATTGCTTGCGCCTGCCCTGCCTGGGGCTTGAGCAGCCCCAGAATTACTAAGACTCCCCCCCCCCCAAACATATTTCTCTTCCTCTGCCATCTACCTTTTTTATAAACATCCAGCCTGATGAAGAGTTATGGCAAACTCAAAAGTTTGCACACTGTTTGGTTATCATTTGCTTTGGTCTTAGTAAATGGTGTCACATGGGTTTTGATTTTGGATCCCACTTTAGACTGACCCAAACTACCCAGAACTTCCATCTGCCCTTTCAGTGTGTTTCAGTGGCCTTCGTCCCCTCTGTTCAGAATTGTTTTTCTCTTTTTCTTCTTGCCATCGTCACAGCTGACTTATAGCGACCCCATGGAGTTTCCAAGTCAGGAGACATTCACAGGTGGTTTGCTATGGCCTGCCTCCATGTCACAACCCTGGTGTTCCATGGTGGTCTCCCTTCCAAATACTGACCAGGGCCAACCCTGCTTAGCTTCCAAGATCTGACAAGATCAGGCTTGCCTGAGGTAACCAGATCAAGGCTTTTCTTTATACACATGTGTATCTATCTTTCTGCCATGCATCTGATAGACGCCACAAAACCTGCTGCTGCAATCTATTTTTAAGGTGGTGCAAGGTTATTATATTGGGGGGGAGGGTTGCTCACCACACAGGGCAGTGAAGGTATCAGGATGATTTGGAGTTTTTCAGTGTTGTGATTTCAGAAGTGCTTCTTCAGCAGCGTCTTAATTTTGAGAGCCAATTTACGATTCTGGACCAGTGCTCGGAGTCTGCAGAGGAACAAACATTGTTTGAACAGCACTAATCTTTGCCCTCGCACCTACATTTGTCCCATCTCTTCTTCCATTTTTTTTCTGCGTCTTGCACAGCTGTTGTTCTGCACGTCCCAAGAGGAAGCTCAATCGGTTTGTTTTCTTAACTCACCTTGGAGGCTAAATAAAACAGCCAGATACCATGTTTGTTACCAAAAAACCCTGTTGTTCCTGGCTCAGGTATATCTATGCAAAATGTGGGAAGACAATCAGCCTCTTGATGTTTAAGGCCACGATTTACAGCCTTAACTAGCTGTTCCAGTTGAGCTGGAATCCTTCCACCCTGATCCATGCACTGTGCCTTTACTTGAGGAGCCAATCCCACTGCATTCAGTGGGACCTTGCTTTGAAATGAAAGGTTGCCAAGGGCTGTATCCTTTATCTGAAATCACTCCCATCCAGCTACGAGTAAATCTGCACACAAGTGGGAATGCCCAATTTAAGACTTTAGACCGATCCAGTCTATGCTCAGATTTAGCTGGTTTGTTAATCAGGCAATTTATTTACTTACTTAGATCATAACCTTACAACCACATCCTTTAATTTGTATTGTGTGTGTGTGTCTGGACTAACAGTAAAATCCTCAAAACACTTTCCTTGGAGTAAGCCCTGTTGAATAGATTTAAGTAGGATTCCAAGTCGAGCTGTTTAGGATTACTCTCTCAATGGATGAAGAATTGTGGGTGACTCATTTTCAGGCTGGTTTAGGCTTTTAGGGAGCAATCCCGTTTACTAGGGAGTAAACCCTGTTCTCAGTAAAGGTGTTGTATTGGGCTGCTTGTGACTCAAATATAGGCTGATTATATTACAGGAGTAAGATTGTGGAGTTTTTAAATATGTCTGTATACATATATGTAGTTGTTGTTCTGAATGCCAACTTCTTGTTTGTTTTACCATCAAGTCATAACTAATTTATGGCAACCTGGTAGGGTTTTGAAGGGAAGAGATGAGCAAAGGTGGTTTGCTATTCCCTGCCTTTGCATAATAACCCTGGACTTCTTTGGTGGTCTCCCATCCGAGTACTAACCAGGGCTGACCCTCCTTAGCTTCCAAGACCTGCTGAGATCAAGCTAGCCTGGGCGTATGCAGTCAGCCTGCATAAGCTCTGCATGAGAAAAGCCTGCATTCCTCCAACCCGCCAAAAGACAAATTGTGTGCAGAGGTACTGCTGTTCCTTCCTCCAATGGCAATCCTGTACAGAATTACTCCAGTCTAAACCCATTGAAATCAACAGCTGAAGCAACTCTGCATAGCATTGCATCATAACGGCAGCAGTCCTATGCATGAGTACTGGTGGAAAAGCTCCTTTGAACACAATGGTATTTATATCCGAGCAGACGTGTTTAGGCTCATGCTGCAGCACTGCTTTGTTTTAAACAGAGTTTAGAGCTGGGTGCATGCTTTCATTTCACCTTAACTGTTTTCCTCTAAAATAACTGTATATGCTGCTTTAATCCTGCCTGACCGGAATTTGAACTTGGTGCACACCATCCTAGAGACACTATACCCAGTTTCCAGTGTTTCAATCAGAACATTGTTTCCTTTTGCAAGCAAAATCTTTACTTTTTTCAGAAGTCCTGTCTTTACTTTTCTCAGAAGCCCTGTTGATTCGAGGAGGACTTATTTACCATCAAGGGTGCAGTCGGCCATGAACAAGCCCTGTTGAATTTAACTGGCCTTACTTCTGAGTAAAATACAAGGGCGTAGGCTCTAAGTGCAGTAAGCCGTTCCTTCCCTCCTCCCCCCTTGAAAACATATATACAAACACACACACACATACACACACAAACAATCAAGTTGCAGCTGATTTATGGGAACCTGGTAGAGTTTTCAAGGCAAGAGACGTTCAGAGGTAAGTTTGCCATTGCCTGCCTCTGCGTAGCGACCCTGGACTTCATTGGTGGTCCCCCATCCAAATGCAAACTAGGGCTGACCCTGCTTAGCTTCCAAGATCTGGGTAGCCTGGGTTGTCTGACTCAGGGCATACCCTAAAAACAAGAGACAGCTAAAATTAATAGTATTTTTATATTTTATTGGGATAAACTAAAGGTTGCTGTAAATATATGCAAGTTTCTGAATTTCACAGGTTTCCTCAGCAGGCAGAATGGAACAGATTAAGGGAGCAACCTTAATCTGGTCTACTGATATGTAAACCCCATGATATTCAGTGGGGTTTACTCCCAGGGACCTGTTTTTAGGATTGCAGCCCTAAAATACATAGAGCTTGTAGACATGCAACAGTGATGCCTTGTGTCAGCTCAACTCAGTCTGCCAATGAAGAACAATTACAATAAAACAAATAACCAACATTAAAAAACCTATTTCAAGCCTGGAGACAATCCAACTCAGCAGCAACAGGAAAAAAAGCACCAGACTCACTTGGCAGGCGGAAAATATAAAATCATACAGGCTATACCCATAGTTAACATGTTTAAACTGTCAATTAAAAGGTAGAAAAGGACCGAATTAAAACTCCGGGCAAATAAAAACGCTTTGCCCGGGTACATGAATGCCAGAAGAGCAGAAGCCAGGCAGAGGTGCAGAGACAGGTTATAAATGTTTGCCGAGAAAGATGAAATCGTTGTTGATAGTGTTCTCTGCAAGACACAATCTGACGCAGTGTTTACTTGCAAGCCCTACTGTAGCCAGTGGGGGGTTAACCCAAGGCAAATTTGCATAGGATGGCAAATTTAGTTGCACAAACACGGACGTGTTTTCCACTTGCTGTCTCCAAGCCCGCTTAGAAAAAGAAGCACATTACGAAAACGCATATCAGATTTCTATCCCGCGGATTGAAAGTCAGGTTTTCCCGAAGACGTGCACCTTGTGGCGCTAGATCGATCGATTTCCTCCGCGCGGTTGCAAAGATCGGTTGCTTTTCAATTTGTCTGGGGACCTTCCCCCGCCCGTTCTCTTTGTAAAACCAAAATAACCCCCAATTTTTTGTCGCTCCCCACCCCCCTCACGTATTGAGAAATAGAAGCGGAAAACTACCTTTCCCGTGAGCCTAAGCGTGCTTTTCTTTTGTCTATTGGTGCAGACGACGGGAGGGTGGGAAAGTCGAGTGCGAGGACAGCTCCGCCCTCTGCGACGCGATTGGCTGTGCGGTCGGAGTTGGCTCCTCCTCCGAAACGCATCAGTATGAAATGAGCTGCTGTTAGAAAGCATCAAGCTATTTTTCTTTGCTTAGAGGAGGTTGAGAGTGGCGTCCGCTCGAGCCCTCTAGAACCCTGATGCGCCTGGACACTTTAGAACTCCGCGACTTCCGAACGTTCGGCGATCCAATCCTCCGATCTCCTTTGATATTGATACGACTACCGGCGTCTTTTTCCTGCCTTATGCAATCCCGAGCTTGTTATATTCTTCCCAAGAATTATTATTATTTTTATAAGGCAAGCTCTCCCAAGTTTTGGAACTCGCTATTAGTAATAGTCTAGTTTCTGATCAGCCCTCCCCTCCCACTAAAACGGCGCTATGATCGTGGCGGACCCCGAGAGCTGCGGCTGCTCCAGAGTCGAAGCCTATTTGCCCTGTGAAAACTGCGGAGCTTTGAGTGGTAAAAAGGTAAAGCAGAAATTCTAGGATCTTTTTTAAAAAGTGATTTGGTTTGGGTCTGGGATCCTCTGCTGTCCTTTCAGATGCACTTGTGTTTTTAGTTTAGTTTTGTTTTTTCCTGGGCTTTGCGGGGGGGGGGGGGCTAAGAACGCTCCAGTTGCTGCTGCATACCGTAGTTGGGGTCCTTTTCCGACAGGGATATGTTAGAATGTAGTTGCATCAGCCGCAGAGAGTTAAGAATGGGAGAGGGGGTCGGGCGGGGGCTGTTGTAATAGAGACGAGACGTGTGGTCGTTTTGCGCGACCTGACGTGACAGATGTCCCCAGATGGAATGGCCCATGGCCGGCGTACCAGTGAAAGGTCTGCCTCGCCTCGCCCCTTACCAGAGTAGCAAGGAGGTATCACTTCCCCAATAAACATGGTTAGGTTGCTATGTCGGAACAAGTCCCGCTGATCCCGCAGTGGCGTGGAGTTCCAAGGATGCGTGTTTATGAAGACTAGCTGCCGCTTCAACCTTGGCTCCGTTTGGTGTAGGTTAGGAAACAGCGGCGTGGGCCCAAGCAAGCCTCGCTTAAGCTCCGTCCGCCGTTCGTTTAATCGGGACCTAAAGGACTCGGTTTCAGGACTCGGGCAAGTACAGGCTTGTCCCGCACTGCGGACCCTTTCCCCCTACTGTGGGGACAGTTTGAACTGTAGATCTGTTCTTCTTTCTTCAACGTCTTTGGGCATGGCTTTCGTTCTGCTTTATATCCAACGACCCTGTGAGGTGCGTCAGAACCGTCCATTCTGAGTATAGCCCAGTGGATGTCATAACTGGGTGTGGGGGTATGAACCCAAATCTCCCAGGACTCGCTTTCTTTGACACTTTACTACGGACCATTACCTGTAGGGCTTGTTCCTGAAAGTTTTTGTCTCGCTCAACTAGCGATGAAAATGCTAAGAGCTTTGGTTAGGTCTACTTAGAGTTTGCATGCACTGGAATGCTTTGCTCGATTTGGAAGTAAACCCCACCATAATAAATTGGCTTAATCCCAGGCAATTTTGTATGGGATTGCATCATTAAAGTGGGATACCCCTTTAAATGCACTCTTTCCTTCATCCTTTTTTGGGGTTGGTTTCCTCCTTTCAAACCATGCTAGCGGGTTAGGGGAGGCTGACCCAGATGAATAAATCCTGTACATGTAGAAAAGAGCACCCTCCCAGAAATTTTGTTATGGTGCTACTGGACTCTTTTCTGCTGCTACAGATAGACTAACACGACTACCCACCTTGATTTGTGAATTTAAAACCTTCAGGGCAAGAGTGATTTTTTTCCCAAAGGGATTAATCCAGTGTTTCAACTTGCTGCATGATCTTGGGGGCCAGTCATATGCACTGTCTCTCAGCCTAACCTACCTTGCGGGGTTGTTGAGAACAGCACAGAAGAGATGAGTGTTGCATTGGGCCCCCATTGGGGAGAAAAGAGAGGTATAAATACATAAATAACAGGTGTGCAGAGTTCTTCTTTGGAGGGTACTTCTTGGGGTTTGCTCTGTTTTGGCTTCCATTTTCTTGACCCCAACTGTCCATAGATCCCCCCTCCCTGTAATAAAGCCTTACTTTTTAGGGCAGCTCTTACTGTAATAGTAAAGGGACTGAGATGTCACCTGTTTGGTTTGCCAGTTAGAGAAGCTTCAAAGACATGATCCCTGTATCCTCTGGTGCACTGCCCAGGGATGCAAGAACATAAGGGACTGCAAATTAGCCAGGAGGACAGAAGCTCCCCAAAGAGCCTGGTGACAATCAAGTGAGCTCCAGCATCTTGAGAGCCACTGAGTCAAAACAACTGCTTTGGCCCTTGACAGTTTACGAGGGGAGGAGTGTGCTGGCATTTCCACATTTCCCTCCCTCCCCCGTGACTCCCCACCCCTCAGCTTCAGCTTTGAGTGGGTGGAGCAAGTGCTTGAAGGATCCCAATAGCATTTGCCTGCAGGTTTACTCTGCTGAAGATGGAACCGAACAAAGGGTGGATTATCAACCCAGGCTTTTGACAGAGCCTTCCCCTGATTGTGCAACTCTCAATCCAAGCAAGCCTTGAACGCCCTTGCCTCTGTGCCCTCTTTCCTTGTGCCACCTCCTTAGTACAGATGAGAACAGACCCCCTGCTTACACTTCATGTGTAAAGTTGCTTTTTCCCACCAAAGACATACTTTTTTATTTGGCCAACTTGTGTCTCCACCCAAGATGGTTCCGAAGAACCTTCAAGGTGGGAAGCAAACACGCTAAGCCAGAGCTTTGAAATTTGTTCCGGCATAGCCCCTAAAGGTGCAATCAAGATTTAAAAAGAGCAGTAAAAATATACCGTAGATCTCCTTCAGTTGATCAGTAAAAGCATTCAAACAAGGTCCCAAAATTCCTTTGTTTCGGTTTTTTGAGTTGATCTTCTTTTTGTAAATGACTTTTTTAAAAGGTAAGACTCCAGCTGGTCTTAGTACTCTGGAGGAAGAGTTTATCACATGGGTACCACCACTGAAGAGGCCCTGCCCTTCAGCCAGAGTGCAAGACAACTTATGTTGATACAAATACACAGGGAAGGTAATGGTGAAGTTATAGGCCCCGGAAGGAGTGTTCCCTCTAAGCTGAGTTAGTGTGAGCTAGCTGACAGTTTTTTAGCCTCCAGCTCACACATTTTTGTTTTAGCTCAGGAAGGAAGGATGGCTTCAGAGCAAACTAATTTATGCAGTAGCCAAATCGCTCGCTCACAACTTTAATGCCATTAGTTCACAAAGTAGAATTTCTGCTCACAAGACTCTTCCACTTAGAAGGAACATTGCCCGGAAGTAGCCTGTATCTGAACTGAACTGTAAAAAACAAAAAACAAAAAGTCATGCCAATAGTTTGAATTGCATTCTGAAACACGTTGGAGTGTGCTGAAAGCACTGGAATACTTCACACCAGCTTGTTAAATTGAAGGCTGCATTCTGAACCAATTGAAGTTTCCAGCGTTCAGTGATAATTACTAATGAAGTGTGTTGCAACAGCCCAGCCTGGAGGTTAATAAGGCAGCTGGAAACTAAGGTTTGCAGAACAAAAGGCAATCTATTCCTGCTTCTCTTAAATTAGGGGGTGGGGGTGGTTTTTGAGAGCAAGGATGGCAGGGGGCAAATGTTAGAGTAGCGGCAAAAGGATCAAACTTAGTGTTTTTCCATAATTTTATATTTATACAGACTGTATTAGAAGAGACTTGATGGGGGAACATACAAAGAAAGAATCTGGTAAAACAAGGGCAGCAGAGGAGTTGGTAAATTAAAAACCATGCCTGTTAATTCTTCTGCAGTGAAATGATCCTTATCCCCGCCTGGTTTTGCAATCAAAGTGTGTGAGGCTGTGCTATATAGCAGCTAAGAGAATTTTTATTAGAAAGTTATGCCGCAGTGGATATCCAAAGCAGTGTACAACATAAGTCTTCTCCATTTTATTCTTACAACAACCACCCTGTGAGGCAAGATAGGCTGAGACTGACTGGCCCAAGGTTACCCAGTGAGTTTCCATGGCAGAGTAAGGATTCGAACCTGGGTTTCCCAGATCCTAGTCTGGCAGTCTAAGCGCTACACTACACTGGCTGGTAGGGGCTGTGATCAGGCCAAGTCTGCGCTTGGCGTTTTGCCTCCTGCACAATCTGATTAGATGGCCTTAGTCAAATTACTGTCTTTTCATGCCTCACCTGCAGTAGGGGGAGTAGGTGCTGTCCTACTTTGCAGGGCTGTTGTAAAGGATGACAAAACAGCTTGCGAGTGAAGCACTTTTGAGTTTTGAAAGTTCCATATAAATGTTATTAAATTACCCAAGATCCTGTGTCAACTAGGCAGAATTAACTGCCTCTCATTACAGTCCTAGGGAAATGGGGGGAGGGGCATTTTGATAAAATTGAGAACTCTTCACCTGTTTAGCTGCTGTTTCTTTCAAATATCTCAGGGTATAATGTCAGTTCTTTGCTCTCAAGGTAGTTCCGAAACAAGAAAGGCACCCTGCTTTCTGTATGGGATTAGCAGGCCTGTGTGGGAGCATGGCACATGCCAAGAGGTGTGATGTCCCACAGGAGGCCTTTGATATCCCACAAGACGCCTTTGATGTCCCTGCCCAGCTGGGTCTGTGTTTGAACCCTGAATGCAAACCTTAACTGAATAGGGGTGCACAGCTGTCTGCTCCTCCTGCCGTTTCCAAACTGATTTGTTGATGTGACATTATTTTGCTTTGCTTTCCTGACTTGAGCCACAGAGTTCCTTATACACTCCAATTGTTCAGCATAATAATGTTGCAGTTCGAGAACTGGTGTGATCTTGCAAATAAAAGACACCGGAGTTATTGGCTCAGAGTTCAGGGGTTTTTTCCCCTAGCAAACCTCCCCCCAAAAAAACATTTTTCAGAAGAAGAAGAAGAGAAGAGAAGAGATTGGATTTATACCCCGCCCTTCACTTGGAGTCTCAGAGCGGCTTACAAACTCCTTTCCTTTCCCTTCCCCTCCTCACAACAGACACCCTGTGAGGTGGGTGGGGCTGAGAGAACTCTGACACAAACTGCTCTTTTTCAAGGACAGCTGTGCCAGAGCTTGTGACTGACCCAAGGTCACATCAGCAGGTGCAAGTGGAGTAGTGGGGACTCAAACCCGGTTCTCCCAGATTAGAGTCCGCACACTTAACCACTACACCAAACTGGCTCTCAGACACATAAACAGCCGGAATGTGGGAGAGAGAAGAACTGATCTGCTTTGTTGCCTGCATGTAATTGGTGCATATTGCAGGTAACCAGGGAAGAAGCTGTTAGCAAGTATGTTATCGCTGGGAGCTGCACGTACCCTGTTCTGCGTACAGCGCATATCCATTTTTCATGGCATAACATTCTGCAGAGAGACCCACATTTGTGCTTGCAATGTATGCTCATTCCTTGAGATAAAATGTCTGTTTGCTTCACACGGGATGGAGTATACTGGACACATGCTTTGTTAGTGATGTGATGTGTTTGTTACTAGT